GATTGGTTTTAACTATTTGATAACTCACAATATAGTGTCAGAGCAATTTATAGTGTTATTTGCAATCTTCCACATGATAAGTAGTTTAAGCCATCAAATATATTGACTTTAGCATTAATACTGGGACCAAGTGAACCTAAATTATATCAATTAAATTATTATCTAGCACCTTTAATAGACCAATAAATTGGTTTGTGGAATGGTAAGTATATATAATTAATATTTGCTTACTGTATTATCTCGAAATAATGGCCCGAGATGTAGATTAAAAAAATTGATCTGAATTAAGCTTAATTTGGCTTAATTTAGCTTAATGCGGGTCAAAATTTTAATCTACACCCTGGATATTATTTTGAGATAATACTGTAATTATTTTTTTATTTGCGTATTAATTTATCACATGATTAGAAATCGAATTAGAAAGAACTTTTGAAAGTTCTACCAGTAAATTCATTAGAGTAGTAGTAATTTGTTGTACTTGCGATATACCGGCTGCAAGAAAATTGTGTAGCTTTATTTCTGCTTGAATTGCTTATTATCGATACATGAAAGAGCTAATTTTGATAAAAGAAATCAACCTAACTTTGGTGGATTTGATGATATGAGTTAATGGTTTTGTGAAAGAAATATCAATGAAATTCATCAAAATGCAATTTTATGGAAGAATTGCCATACAGAAGATGCAAGAAGAAAACACACTTCTGAAACATCTGCCTTGTGGTCCGAAATATATCGTCTCTCATACTTTAATTCTGTCCAGTTTACCATAGTAGATCTAATGTATTGCTTATTTTTAGGCATAGCTAAATGGATTATAAAATTATAGATCGAAGAAGAAATTTTGTCTTTTCAAGATTTAGCTTTAATGGAACAACAGGCCAAAATAATGAAATTACCATTAGATATTAGTAAAATTCCAAAAAAGATTACTATGGAGGATGGTTTCTCTGGCTTCACAGCAGACCAATGGAAGTTGTTTATGTTAATATATGCATCTTCGATTACTTAGGATTTACTGAAAGATGATGACCAAAGAATTCTAACTTATTTTGTTAAAGCATGCTCAATTTTGGTATACCAGATTTTACCTAAAGACAAATTGGAAGAAACACATTGGTATTTTCTAAATATAGTGAAACTTATTGAAAAAAAGTATAGTTCTGAAAAGATAATACCCAATTTATATTTATATTTACATATATGTGAATGTGTTATAGACTACGGACCAATATATACATTCTGATGCTTTAGCTATGAAAAAATGAATAGCTTATTAGATAAGTTGAGTACTTTAAAATTTTTATCAATAGGCATATTAAAATACTGATAGCTTATATAAATTTTTATTTTTATTTTTTTTTTTATATAAAATTTTATTAATAGGTTCATTTCATAATAGTAATAGAAGAATTGAAACTGAATTATTTAAAATCATTCAATCTTATTCTCTATTAGATGAACTTACTATACAAGCCAAAGGTTATTTATATACATATTTGCAATTTATTAAGCAAAGAGTAGCAATTAGTAGTCTTTCTATTCAAGATAGAAATTACTGCCAGAATTTTTTATCTATGTCAACCAATATTGAAGAAAGCTCAGAAACTGGTTGTGAATCTTTTCTGAGTAAATTCTTAGAAGCTAAAAATGACTGAAAAATTCTTTCGAAAAAATTATTGGCTCTGTTAACTGAATACTATAATAATACATATGATTATAGATTCAAGTCAATAAATAATAGGGATATCGGTATATTAGATACTATACCAGTTTTGCCTAGAGTAACAGAATATGAAAAAGTAAAAATCAGTGATAAAATATTTGGATTAACATCTTCGGCAAGACATAAAAGATTAGCAAAAATTTTAGCCAAATTTATATTAGATGATCATTTTATCGACATATATCTGGGTATCATTCAATTCTATTTCGAGCATATTGTACAACTACCAAAAAGCCTGAGAAAGCATAGTTTGGCATTTGTATAATAGTATAAAGCTGTAGACAGCCGTAAAATTAAGTATTATTGCCAAGTTAACAATATTTGTAATATCGAATTGTAGAATCAGAGCTTTTATAATGTAAGTAGAGATTGTATAATCCCTATACATAATATTTTAGGTCGATTCATTTCTGGTACCATTATAGTCAGAAAGAAAGACCCAAGAGAATATATATCTATTATTCCTATTAATAGAAAGTTCTATATTTAATTTATGTTCATATAATGTAATTTACCAGATATTATATTAAATATTTATCATTATAAAAATCTACATAAATTTATAGATTAATCAATAGTTCTATTGATTTATTTGCTATATTATCTAGTTATATCAGAATAAATATAAATTTATTAATAGAAATATCAGTACGCTGATAGATCTATAAAATATAAATTTACTATCGGAGACATATCGACTTCCGATATGTTCATAATATTAATATGACACAATATTTTATATATGGCTTCATGTGAGCTTGAAATTTACCAATATTTACTGATATTGTTTTTGATTATTTGTAAATATAAGCAAACTTTTATTAAAATATAGATTTATCGATAGTTTTATCGATTTGCTCGATACGTTACCGATTTGATTTCTATATTCCTTAAACGTATCAGAATACTTATAGACTCTTCTATAGGGCTATAGATTATGCTGATATCTCTATGATATTTACTTGAAATATTGGAATACCCAATATATTCCTGATATTTACCTGACATGCTTTATTCCGATATGGCTTCATTTGATCTGTGTGAATATTATTAAAAAAAAGTGAAAAACTTAAATATTTATAGGCTATTTGTTCTTTAGTTAAACAGAAAGCTTATAAGAATTACAGACTGCTAGCAATTATAAATATGGTAAGAGAAATTGCAACAGAAAAATTAGGTTTAGGTAAAAGTATAAAGGAGTTGAGGTATAAAGAAGTTACAAATATTAAATTTAAAGTTTATAGACTCTTGATAGTATTTTATTAGAAACCTATATTGTGAATTAGATATCTGTGAATCAAATTTTTTTCTTGAACAAAAAAGATATTGTATCTAATATTTTAAATTGGCTATGCAGTCTATACAAAGCTTTGTTTTTATATACTCTAATCAAATCAATAATCTTGAACAATATGGTTGGCTGACTTTGATTGACTCTACTCATAAGACAAACTACTATAATTATTAATTATTCACTTTATATATTTATAATATATATGGATATTGAGTTATTGAAGCCTATTTTTTTGTCAGCAATGAAGATAGCAATACCATTAAGAAGATTTGAAAAATAGTCTAATAGTTTGAATACTATTAGAAACTAAAATATTTCTTTGCAGACCAAAGCAATATTAAAGTAAATAGTATAAAAATTGTATTTCTAGGTTTTCAAAATAGTAAACAAGAATGCAGTATAATTTTTTATATTGTACATATAATGAGAATATGAATAAATAAAATTTACAATTTAAATACTCAGCAAAAAATGATTTAAGCTATATACAAAAAAACTAAAATTGAATATGAAAGTCTTATCTAACAAGCAATCAATGAATATATGGTTCTGACTATTAAGCAATATATTCAAAGATATTATACAAAAATATCTATTTACTAGAGTTCTACTATAGCAAATTAAAACAAACAACCTTTTTACAATATGGTTTAATTTGTATAGTAATCTTATTTATAGTAATATTTTGATTACTGTAAAATCAAAATAGTAGGCCTGCTGAAAAATCAATTAAAATTAATTTTGCTATATATTAATTTAGTAGAACTGCAAAATAGTATGTATAGATATTATTTTGAGTTATAGCCTTAATTTGAGTTATAACTCCAAATAATACTTATACCCACTATATAATACAAATAATATTTTTATAGAATTTAACACAGATCGAATGAATCCATATCAGTTAAATATCAGGTTCTCAATAGGTCACCTATTTTTGCCCTATAGAGATATGAAAAGTTTCCGGTAATAATTTCTTAGAAGTATCTGATTTGTCTCTGATTATCAACAGATCTTTGATACAAATAGGACACCATTTAGAAATATATAAGATACAGATAGGATTCATATTGGTTATCCAATTGGTATCTTATTTTTTACTTATTTTTTACTCTATTACAATAAAATAGGGCACTATTTTGTAATATACAGAATATCGATCAGGTTCATATTGATTACCTGATTCAGATCTTATTTTTTACTATATTACTATAAAACCAGATATATATCAAGTTTTTAATAAGCTTATCAGCATACCGGTAAAGCAATTAGGTAGTCAATTTGTTTGTAAAATTCATATATTATACATATTTACAGATTTATTTATATTTCATTTATATTATATTATTAAAAGTATTGTATATATATATTCAAATTAAAACTAAATGATAATTCATACATGCGATCGTAACAATAATACATAATGTTTATTAAACAAGAAGCAATATCTAAGCTATATGAAAAAGCTAATTTAAAATTCTATTTAATTGTTCAACATCGCTTCATAAATAATTGTTCAATCTATAATGCTATTAGAATGAAGTCTTAATATATCAGTGTTATAGTGAGTGTAAAAACTCCAATGATAAACAAAGCTAAAGTTCAAATTATAAATCGGGCTCATTTTTCTAAAACAAAATACATCAGCATCCATTAATAGAACTGCCATTAGTTTTACCAGAATTGCAATTGAGTTAATCAGAATCGTTGTCCTGAGTATTATCATAATCGTCATTATTGTTCTGGGCATTATCATTATTGTCATTATTATCTTCACCATTGTCATTGGCTTTGTCAGTTGCTTTATCTGTAGTATATTTGGGATTATTGGTGGTTCTTCCACCTCTATTACTGTTACTTCTGTTACTGTTACTACCACTTGCAACTACTTCTTTATTAGAAATGTAAAATGCAGAAATTGTCCAAGCAGGTGCCTCTTCAGGAGGTTTTGATTTGCCTGCCCATCTATTATCTTTGTATCAATGTTTCCTTGAACATTGTACTTTGAAGACTTTTCGCCTATTTCATCAGCCAACCGCAAAAATTTTCTAATCTATTATTAATAGAATAAAAAAAAATTAATAAAATAAATCTAAAAAGTATAACAAAAATTATAATTTATCTAAGAGATTAAAAAAAAATAATAATAATAAAAAGTTTGATGACAAAATATTTATTTACTCTACACGACCTCTATGGCTTATCATAAATATGAATTACATGATTATCAGTTTTGTCCTTGGGATGTATTTTTAGACATTTCTCTGACAACGTTTGCTCTATGTCTATTTCAGAAAGTTCATCAGAATGAAAATCTCCTTCTTTAATTATATCTTTAAGATCAGCTTTGAAATCGTCAAAATCTATAAAATCTGCAAGTTCTCTAAGGTTACTATCGTTTGTATTAATCATATAATTAATATCCCGAATTCACCTTTTTTTTTTCTATAATAATAAAATTTAATTATAATTAATATCGGCAATCTGATATTTCTATAAAAATAACTTAACAACCTTAACACCTACATCAGATCATCTATCATTTACTTCTATTCTTTTTTTATTAGCTTTCGATTTCTCTAGATCCTGGTCTATTTGACATTTTTTGTTTTGGTGACGGTAAAGTTGTTGGAGAACATACTTAAGTTCAATAAGTTTGTATTTAAAATGATCTCCAAAGCTGTGCCGATCACTAGCATAGTTTTTTTAAACACGTGATGGGAAATTTCCGACCATCTTTTGTTTGGATCGAGCTGTAGAGTATCATCTAGTTCACTTAAAATATTAATTACTTTGTTCTATTAAATAAATATAATAATGAAATGATAGTATTTTTAAAATAATAAAGATATTTAAATTATTACCGTATATTTCCGAAAATAAGCTACTCTTTTTTGGACAATTTTGAACACAAAAAACTAATAGTAGCTTATTTTCAGATATAATCGATTTTTGCTCAATTCTGAAAAATTTTATTAAGCAAATCGATGATATATATTAAGTAAAGTTTGTTCAGGAGAACAAAATACACATATTCTGAAAATTTCAAGTAAATAGGATAACTTTTTATTAATTGACTTTTGATTTTTACGTTCAACGAATATGAATTTTAAAGAAATTTTAAAAAATTCGTCGAACGTAACATGCAAAAACGTATTAATAAAAGGTTATCCAATTTGCATAAAACTTTCAGAATATATGTATTTTGATCTCCTGAACAACTTTCACTTAATAAACTATGTCTATTTACTTAGTAAAATTCCGACTTTACTATAGGATAACTACTGGCGATCGTATAGTAGCTTATTTTCGGGTATAAAAGGATTTTATGATTTTCTTCTAAAAAAGAAAGGTAGCTTCTTTCGGATGTAGCTTATTTTTGAAAATATACGGTAATAACAATAATATTAGTATTGTAAAATAATAACGGTAATAATATTATTTATATACATGGAAGAGCTTATATTGCTCTTGTATCATATCTTCCATACATTCATATGATCTTCTATTATATCTGGTAGGAGGTTCTGGAGTGATGAAAAACCTTCGATTATTTGCAGGGACATCACGAAAGTTTTCCTTTTTTTACCCATTTTCTTACTAGGGCCGGTGGATATGACAGTAGTAGTTTTTGAATTATCTTGAGGAGCTCTAATAGTTTTATCAGTTTTAGTAAGATTATTAGCATCAATATCATCATAATCACAAGGATCTATATTATTTATTGGGTATGACAACCCAGTTGTCCTCAATGCACTAATATCATCATTGTCAGTATGTGTTGGTAGATTGTTTGATGCATTTGATTTATTAGATTTTAATTTATTAACTTCGTTAATCAAACTTTGTACAATGTTTTTTAAGAAAGAGATTTTTATTAACATATAAAATTTTTGTTAGACATGTTAGTAAGTCAATAGTTCAATTATAATTATATATAGTTACTTTTGTTTTTTGCATCGGAGCTTCTTGATCGACTGCGAGAATGTTCGTTAGTTGGAGAAGGTGATCTTTGACTATGACTTTTGTTATTTGGTATCTACTATTAACATTTTGACGTGAAGCTTGTGAACGACGTGGTGGAGTTTCTGATTAGCGGTTGCTTCGGCGAGATAAGGTTTCTGATCGATGGTTGTTTTGGCAAAGTGGTGTTACTGATCATCTGCATTAGTAAGACAGACAATTTTGTCGATAAGGTGTTGATGATCATAATGGTATACTTCGATATAACATGGATGGTAAAATTGTATGTCGACTTGAAATGATGTTAATTTGGTAAGGGCTTCTACCACGCATTTTTTTAAAAAAGTTTTCAAAAAAACAAAGAAAATTTAGATATAAGTATTTGAAGAGAAAAACAATTATAAGTATCCAAAAAACAAAAAAAAAATCAATTGAGTTATCGGGTATTTGGTATTTAGTTGAGAAAAAATAGAAAAGAAAAGAGATTATGGAAAATAAATTGGGTTATCAGGTATTTGGTATTTAAATTGAAAAAAGAAGAGACAAGAAAAAGCAATTTATTTTATAT